GGGGGGGGGGAGGGAGGGGTTGGAAGGAGGACTGTTCTCCGAGAATTTACAGCGTTCATAGAAGCACGCCTGCGTGTTTGGTGTCTTAAAGCTCCCGTTGCTACGCTAGCGTCACACGGCTTGATAGATAATCACACTGAATCACTGGCAAATATTCATTATTATGCACCGCATGGTGAATGGACATTCAAAAAGCTGCGTCTGGCCAAATTAAATCGATAATTGATTTACTACCTTGTTATACCTATACAATATCTCTAGACCCCTATTACCATACCCTCACCATATACTATTAGTTCTCGGTCCCCTTTCGAGCCTTTGGTTTAAAATTAGTAAAGATGAGAAAGTCAACATTCGAGACTGGTTTTCCTTTTCCATTAATAAACTAGATCCCCTCCTAAAATAGACCAAACATTATTAATTAGCATATTAAATGCCAGCAAGACATTTGTACACGCTTTGTCGTAATATTTGGATTTCTGAAGTTTCAATTGGGTTTAGCTTTTTACCGCATATTATAAGGCGGAAGATAATTTCACTTCACATGTTCCCACAATTCAATTTAAATAGAGACTCCTCAACTGTGAAATGCCATCAATTTACCTTGTGTCCCAATATCACTGGAATGCCTATTCGACTTTAGAATGAATGCATACTAAGGCTTTAATCGATAAGTTAGTTTTAACAAAAGTAGAAATGATATGTCATGAAGAGATCTTAAGTGACGAAAAAGGCAGCTTTCGTTGTGTCACTCACATTTAAGACCGGGACTTTCTTATCTCATGCATAAAACATAATCGTGAGATTCATTCCGATCAAACGGAATAATTTATTCAAAGGAGAAATGAGCAGCAGAGAAAACATTAATTAATATCTTTGAGATGTAGATTTGACTTAATTCCAGCAAAGAATTCTGTACAAAATAGCTGCCAGTACTTCATCGCCTTTATGAGATAGCTGATGGAAAAGCGAAGTTCCTCCAAGCTTACTGTGTGTGTAAATCCAAACGAGGTAAATATCAAGTAAAAAGGGAATATTGCTGTCTACTTCAATTTCTACTTGTTAATCGACATCTCGAGAGACCATGAAGAGAATTCTAACGTTTGGATAAAGATCAACTCCAGTAGAATTGTTCATTTCAAAAGCCGAAATACTTCGGATAGCATATGTTTCTTGTGGGACTAGATGTTTAGAGGGCTAAAACATGTCTAGAATAAGGAATCGGTTTTACGTGCCCCTCCCCCATTCTTTGAAATTTTTTTATTCACGTATTTGACGGTTAAATTGCTGAACAGACTGAGGTGCGGCCAGGGTATGAGCATTTGGTCAGAGAAACAATATGGCGTTTGATTGAAGTGACTTTCCCACTGTTTTCCCAATCCACTATGTAACTTGCTCAATATGTCAGTGGTTAGATGCGATGTTAGAACAACACCCCCCCCCCCTCCCTTTAATACTCAAACTCCGTTCCATATCACGCCCCTTTGTTCATTAGGTGGGATTTCGCACGATCCCACTCAATGCAGTTTCCTGATTGTTGGTGTTCAAAATAAATAAAAAAGTTCTCAACTCCTTTAGTCATTTCATTAAAAGAGAAAAATATGGTTTTGGCAGGGGGATGGGTGACTTACAAGTGAAAGAACATATGATGGGTGAAAAGTGGGATTTGGAGATTTCTTAATAGCTAAATTGTGCCACTACCTGCTAACAATATTTATACCTTATGTCTCTATAGAAAAGGGCACACAAAAGGGGCGCTATTAGTCTCAGTTTATAGGTATATGGCCTTTGACCCACAGTAGGATGTTTATTGTAAATGAGTATTAACAATCTTTGAAGACACGGAGCAAATCACGGAACTCTTGTCTACTTCCAATATAATCCCGTGAATGTGGAACTGAATTAGACTGTTAGTATTTTGATCAAAGGAACCAAGCATTTTGATATAGTATGAATTATCATAAAAATAAGTGCTCAATGGGAACCAAATGTCGTAAATATGTAAAATGAACAGCCTCTATTGAAATAAGATTCCTATTAACAACTATCTATTCTATTTCTACCTGATCAATTTCCTTTTACCCGTTTCGAACTATTGTTCTGTGGATAGCTTGTACTTACCATCCTACAGTGGCGTACCAAAATTCTAAATATCTCTCGGTTGCATAAACCTTTAGGAACATTTTTGATTTAACAGAGCTTACGGAGCCATTCAAAGCAAACATTTTAGCTATCTCAACTCTACTGAACTAAAATTTCAATCTGACGAATAGTATCAAAGTGCAGTTTGCCCTCTCAACATTTTCACCTCCAAACAGAACGAAAATAAAGCCACGACGATCATTGAGCATCACAAACATGCAATTGATGCAATGCAGAAGACGAATCTCTAATATTGATTTTTGGAGCATGAACTACCCAATTATCAAATATTTTACAACCTGAGTTCAAAATCAAATGAACTAAGATCTCTATTGTTATGAACCCCGACTATTGATCACTTATTGAACTTTCCGTTAACCATATCAGTTACTTCCCACACTTAAAGGCTGGAAATTGTTGCATTATGCAAATAGCACTAATAGCTTAATAGGCAAATAATAAATATTATCGATCGAACGCACACTTCTGGGTCTCCAGCAATTTACACCAGTTCATACAGATACATACTCGTCGACTAGTTTTGTAGTTCAAGTAAATGTAAATACAATGCATTTTCAAAGCATTTTGCTAAACAGAATTTTCACATCTGGCATAATCATCACTTACGACTCCCAATATTCTTATTTTCTACCTTCATCGCCGGAATTTCGATTTCATGTGAAGACTAGAAAATATATTTGATGCTGATCCTCAAGACAAGTCATAATTGGAAGGTCAGATGGCATTGACAATGTGGCCATCAAATTGTAGTTAGTAAGCAGACAATAATGAAATTCATATTACATAAATCAAACAAGTACGTGAATTTAAATGTAATTTTTTCTATCAATTTACTTAAATGGGGATATTGAAGAAATTATTCATATTTTAGGACATCAGTGGTTTTAGAATATTAAGTTCCATACTTAAGAAATAACAAGCTCAATGAGAGAATCGGTTATTAGCTAGTTAACTCGCTTCACTAACTGTCAAAATGATTTCAAATTGTTATATTATATTTGAGCTATTTAAAAAGCTAAAATGAGCTTCCCATCTAAAAATACAGAGAAACAAACAATTACCTGTATGTAGAAACGTAACCCCATTCACAATACCTCTGATAACACACAGGGCAAAGTGGGAAGATGACCTAATTGAAGAAGGCAATCCCATTTGAGAATTTTGAAGAAGGATATTCGTAAAAGATCCCCAAGGGTGATACTCTTCAACTGTGAATGCGCAGATAGTATTGGGTGAAAACCAGGTAGATGATAAAGGTCTATTTTCAGAATAAGAACGCCGTAGTTCGCTGAGCAAACACACGTCAGCTGCTGTGATGCCACTGAGATTAGAATGTCGGAGAACACATCGTTCATGGATACCCACTAGACGCTTCCATAACATCAAAGAACGAGATGAATTTGCTGGAGGTAGGAGTCGTAGATTAATTGGCTCTTCTTCATATATAGCTGAAGAATGAAAAAAAATAATGGTAAATAATTCAAATCTCCATAGCATCTTACGATAAACACATATTTTCATTATACTGACCTGTAAAATTAAGTGAATGGTGATTTTCTGATAAAAACTTTACATTCTCAAGTTTATGAATCAAGATTCTTCCTTGCTGCACTTTACTACGAGCGATTTGCGAGGAAGAAAAAGATTGGCTGTCTTGCAAGTTTGTCGACCTAGTTGATGCTACAGAAGAAGGGTCTATGGACACTTTTGATTGAACTGAAGTAAAGCAGAATTTCCACTTTCTGTATTTCTTCGGAAAGGAAATGGGGAGAGTACATTTTGTTAGGAGAAAAATAGCAATTATTCCAATCATAATTACAGAGGGAACAAAAATCGATAGAATCTGAAAGCCGTTAAGTTGATTATGAGGGGAATTTTGGTCGGAAAATTTATGAAAGTTATCTGGTATTGAATTTGATCCATTCCTAATAAGAATCTCTGGCCCAAAAGAAGAGTTAATCTTCCAGTTCTTGGGTACATTAAAGTCCAATTCATGCTGATAAGATGTTTGGCCCTGAGGATTTTCGGATCTTTTAATTAACGAAAAAGCGTTGGATTGAGCCGAGTCGTTCATTTTAAGATCAGCGTTGCAGGCATTTCTATTTTTACAGCAAGAAAAAAGCTTATTTGTTCGACTACGCGTGTCATCCATATTGCACATAAGTAATAGAAATGGAGAAAAATGTAAACAACCATATTTATGCACGGCATTCTTCTGAGTTGCAGTAATTTCCTCTGAAGCCTTTGGAAGAACTGGGAATAATTGGTGCTTGTTCTTAGAAATGGGTTGACTTATTGTAGCTTCGTAGTATGATTTATAACAGAATCCTCGTTTTACCGCAATACAAAAGCCAACTTCCGGAGGAAGATTAAAAATAATATTCAAAGTATGGTTATAAATGCAATTAGGATTATCATTGCAAACGCATACTAAATTTTCGGTGACCATAATGAGTTATATCGGGTATTCGTTCGCATATAATATCGCGCACTTAGACCTTGAGGAAAAAATTTTCTGTGAACGTTTGCAAGAAAGAAAGTGTGATAAGTCATGAAGAAATAAGTATAGAAATATAAATTAAATATATATAAAGATCAAAATAATTTTTTCTTACTTTATTTATTCTTGGCAATTATTAGAATGACCAACTTATTAGTCTTATAGCCTTTTAAATTAACTAATGCCTGAAGTAAATACGTGTCTTGTCCTATCCGCACTTCGTATTACCCACAAAATCACAATTGATATATTAAATTTTTAACTATTTTCAGTGAGGCCGGAAAAGTAAATTCAGCAGACCTATTCATCAAGGTTCGTCAGCGGTAAATGTTACAGTGCTCATTAATTAGAAGATGACTTTGAAATGTCGAGTTTCACTAATTCATAGACGGAATGAGCTGTGTACGTGTAAAAATGAAACTTAGAATTAATTTGAGAATGTGACGTGTGAGTGTAAGGGCTACTTGAATATTAAAGAGGCTTAAAAAAATGCTTAAAATGGGAGTCAAGAAGAATTATAAAAGGGGTGCTATTATGCTGGTAATAACCCTCGTGATGTCCCAAAGCATTTTTGCAATAAGAAAATAAAAAATCAAGTGTCGTATTTCAAGAATTTCCATTATAATTATTCTTTATAAACAATGTTAAGTTGAAATTACTTATCTGAATCAAGCTTTCAATTTATCACGTAGCTTAATTTCAGTATGCTTAACAGGTCATCAAGGGTGGCTGAAATTGAGAATGTTACATTAGAGAATTTTAAGATACACTAAAGGAAATCGTAAAAAATAATAGACCAATGTCTTTTCATACAAAGCGGGAATCTGAAACTTAATAATCCAACAATTTAAAAAATATGTTATTAACAAGATCGTAGGCCTTTAAATAGGGGTAAATGTTTACAAAACATGTAACAGCCAGATCGGGAATAAAAATTTTAAGTTTGTATGTATACTAATCGCATATAAGTCTCCCATTACGACATTTACATAATAGCTTGTAGCATATGTGCACCAAACTCCAAAATACTCAAAGAGTATTTAGCACCAGTCGATTTTATGTAAACCACTCAGAAGATGTTAAGATAGATCCAACCTTGAAAATAAGCAAAAAAATTAATTTGACTTAATAAATATAATTGTATTGCGTATTTCGATAGAAACAAAATTTTTTGATTCAAAAAATACATAAATTATAGAATTTTGGGGAGCATTAAAATTACGTGATTTGGAAAACTACTTCAACTGCCTTGGTACAAATATCTTTTGAACTCATTGGGCCAACTTTCGCTACTTTATCTGCCTGTAATTTTGAAACGGGGTGGAGTGATGTTTTCGAATAAGAGCCAGATTAGCAGGCATATGAAAGCAAGTTCGCCAAATATTTCCAATGCACCTGAGGTAAATATCAGGAATTTTTTATATGGATTTGTAGAAAAGCGCTAATGCTTTTACGAAGTCGAGTTCCGCAACTGGCGAGAAGCAGCACGTAGGAAGCTATGAGCCTTCAGAAAGTGTAAGCTTTGTAGACGTATGTATATGCTTTTTTAGTCACTGGCAGCTATTGGGGAGCGTATTGTTCGTCTCCGAAAACTAATATCAGACGAAGATTATGGAAAAGCGTTTTCTCTGTGTGTTGGAACCATTAATGAATTTGTATGTATTGATCGAGCATCGTGGTACAATGCTGTACTGGATCTAGTGTCGGTAGGTTAACTATCTTTCTCATTTTTTGTCTCTTTAGAATGTCCCGACATCATTTAGTTCGTGTTCTTGGTACCAAGATATTTATACCCTGAAGGCGTTTACACTCGCCGAAATTCTTCGTCTTAGAGCTCATACAGCTTGTTTATCCGATTTTCTCTCAATACTAGCTCAAGTTGATGCATTTATCGTGAAAGCAACACATCCATCCCAATCTCACAATTCTGATTTTATAAATGAAATGAAACTTCGTTTATTTTTCTATCTCTCAGTGTACATTCAAAGAGCTGTTAAACGGGTAATTTTTCTAGTATTCCTCACTTGCCACCTCTTTTAGAAACGGATCAATGTGGATGCAGATGCAATGGTTTCGGACTGTCTATCTCTAGCAATTTGTCTTAATTGTGACAGAATTGTTGCTGAAAACCCACTTTCAACATCTGTGTGGGAACATTTATATACCAGTGGTTTATCGCTAAAACTCCAATCCGCCATTCTGGTTGAGAGATCTAGTGCAAGCAAATCAGACTGGGAGAAGTCTTTAAAGGACATCCTTCATCAAGACAATCTTTCTCAAATCAACAAACTTGAGTTTGAATATCTTTACGGACTAACTGAACCCGTCAGTCGGCAAAAGTTGTCGGCTCAAAGTGTTGACCAAATTTACCACGATTTGCTTAAATATCGGCCCGTGGATTTGAGTACCATTTTGTGGTATATTCTCTGTTCCCCATGTATGGATAAAGACGTTAAATCAGACTATGATTTGGCCCTTCCTTCCTCTCGAATTAATCTCATTGTTGACAGTAAGTTCTTTTAAATATCCTACTTAACTTTTTGTACCAGTTATAACACTAATTCCGGTTTTCATCTAGCGGTGAATTGCGTTCTTCCTGACGTATCGTTTACCAGTCCTACCAATACAGATATATGTCAACGGGATGCTTACGTATTTTTACTTGCTCTCTCAGTTTCCTACTTAATTCGCTTTGCGACATCATCTGAATCTAACAGGAGTTCAGGAGAAACGGAACCACTATCGTGGCCTAATCAGCCCCTTTGTCTTTTGAGCTCTCGGTTCTTACCTAGTGGTTTACAACGCAAATGTTGGATTGAAATCTGCTCTCGTTCAGCCAAAGCTAGCCGATTTATTGAACAGCTAAGATTCGCAAAGTCAACACACGAAATACCCTCCCGTTTGGCTCTTCGTGTAGCTAAAGCTATCTCCAGCCTTGATTTGCCATCTAACGCAGCAGCTCAAATATGGGAGTTTGGTTTGAATTCTTTAATTCCAAACACTGAGTTCAACCGCTTCAGTTCGCCTGTTTTAAAGTACGTTTTAATTATTAATGATCGATGTCTTTTAGAATACGAGAAAAAATTCAAGATGAGGTTACTCTATTTACAAATGAACTGAACTCCGATTGGTGGTACGGAACTCATGTTGAGAATTTGATCAATGCTGCTGCTAAGGATCAAGTTTGGTTTGTTATAGGCTGGAATTGGCTTGCTTCCCATTGGTTAAAAAATGACCCTTTGCCTAAAATGCAGACTCTCCTAAATCATGTTAACCGCCTTGGTGATATGAAGATCGTTTTCAATACTGAGACTCTAATTTTAGCTGCAAAACTCACAAAAAAGGCACTGGAAGAGAACAGTACTTCTCCTCTTGTTAGGACACTAGTTTCTCTCACTCTGGATACCCTTAATACGGGTCTGATAAATGCCAAGAAAAACTCACTTCGTGATGAATCGACTGTATGTTTGTGCATATTATTTTTTTATTCATCTTTTAGAAGTCAGTGAAGGAAATTACTGAAGCCATTGAATCTTTGCAAAGTGCTCCTTGTCTTCAAAACTCACTCGGTGAGCAGCAGTTCGCGTGTTCACTCGCTGTTTTCTGCTAGGGTTTCCTCTAACTCTCATTTTTGGATTGATTGTGGATTGGTAATGTTAGGCTAACGTTTGCCATTTCAAACCACTTCATACTGAACATCAATGGTCACCAGTCCCGTATTTTGCGTCCATTCACTAATGTTCAAGGTCCCATATGAAGAAGCGTTATTCTGGGTCGGTATCCTATAGCCACTCTTACTTGAAACACTTTCTATCATTACCCTCGGCCAAAGTAATCAGTGGTGTTGGCACCGATATCGCCTGTTGTGTGTCAGTTGAATTCAATAAATAGTATCCTTAACAGTACTGATTAAAGTTAATTAAGGACGAAATAATGCCTTGTCTGTCTGTAAGGAGTTGGAGAATGACCTGAATTGAGAGGATGTGTCTCAAAACTACTTACATATAACTCATTCTATTACTTCTTATGGTGACCAGTTTAATCAGGACAGCTGGCCACTTACTATCGGTTGTGGGATTGATTTCTAAATCTTTAATTTTGCGGTTACGCAGATTTGCCACTGGGTTATTCTTAAATAGAGTTTGTCTTTTCCTAATAAGCAATTGGAGAGTTTCTTCCTATCTACTTACCCCACGAATTATTAAAAGTATGTATTTCTCAGTCAGGGGCACTTTGTAGATGATCGGCTTGACCCAGCTTACTTTTTTTAATGCTTTGTATGTCGATTATGCTTCCCTATGTGTTTTTCCTTTCCTCATTCTTTTCAAATAAACCATTTTATTATTACTCTTATCTTTTGTTGCCAACTTCGCGTCAATTCTTATTCTAACGGCCTTTACTCTTTTTCTATCTGCGCACGCATAGAACAAGAACCTGTATCCAACTACGAATCAAATCAAAGCATGCCTTCTGGATACGGTGCATACTCTCACGGTCCTCGTTCTAATCCCAATTTTGGATTGATTGGGGCAACGCCTACTACTGCAGGCCGTACTTCTGGTTTATTCAGTGAAGAAGCCTCCTATCGGTCACCCCGAATTCCTAATAGCTCTCTCGCCAACGCCTCAACTGCTGCTGTCATTGGCTCACCGGCAACTTTGTGCTCTGATCCTCAAGTTAGTCTATTCATCGTTTCATCTTTTAATACGGTTTTGACTCACATGACTGGGATGCCCAGACACTAAACTGGTAACCCAAAACTTCCAGGCATCTTAATTGCCTCTCCTAATCAGTCAAAACCCATGTTCAGAAATAAGTACAGTTTGACAAATATTAGTACGAATCATTTTACGCACCTTTTCTTACTGCCGGTGTAGTGCTATTTTATTGTAATTAGGATCCATCGATAATCAAGATGACAAGACGGAATCTCCCTAATGTAGGTGCTTCAGAGGTTGGTTTGCACTCAAATGGATAGTAATAAAACAAGATTAGTTGAATCATCACTTATCGAATTTCTATTCCATTTGAAAGGCTCGTAAAAGGGTAAATTATAGCGAATTTGTTTTTAATACCTTATTTAGACAAAACTAGTGACACAAATGATGGAGCAATGGATGCCTGCATTTATGGAGTTCTCAAAAGTGATGTCAGAAACCTCAGTTGAACTGGCGAAGAGTCGCCTACAGAATGAGGAGCTCTCACGTATGCTTAAGGACACGCGGAGTCAATTGGACAATGTAATTGCTGAACAGCAAAAGCAGCAGCAGCAGCGGCTTCCTATCTCAAGTCCTGTAAGCAAGCCAGAACAGTCTGCGCCATCACTTGAAGATTGGAAAGCTCTGAAAGAGTCTCTAAATGAAGTCACGGCCACTTTGAAGGACTTTAGACGGTGGTTGCCAAATGCCTTTCCACCACTTCCTCCCCCACCACAACCTCTCTTCCTTCATCCACCTCCACCAATTCCCGCAACTCAGAGTGTTCCTCAGCCGGCTGATATGTTTAATATGCTGGAGAGTCAGAAAGCTCAAATGGCTTTAGGTCAGCTGTTACAACAACAACAGAGACAAATGCAGCAACACGTTACCCCGGCTAGTGTTCCGTCGGGTATGTTACCACAACCTTCATATGGTGAGTTTAAGTAGTCTTGTTAGTAGTACCTTTGGTGTTTATTGTTAGGTGTCCATATCCTTGTTACCTAGGTATGCGCGTGCCTTCTATTTTAGCTTAGTAGTGATTATTTTTGCGCCAAGAAGACAAACTCTTTAATTCTCTTTCAAAATTAATGTTGGAGTTGTTAACTATGGAGTTCGTTTCGACCTCCTCTTTGAAGCTAATTATGGTTACATAAAGCTAGATTCTAAGAAGTTGCAGTATACACTGCGTGAGGTGTTATTAGTTCGTTGGGTACTATGCAAGCTCAATTTTGTCGTTAATTTTCGTATTGTAAACCCCCCCGCCTACTGCTCACGCTGTATTACTTTGTTGAGTCAATGCACTTTCTTGCAACTATGAGGAAACAGTTTAATTAGCATTAATTTGGGGAAGATGAAAGATATATTAAGTGAATTTATTAGTTCACCATTTAGTTTCATTTTTTCCCCAAAAGTGGTGGTGGTGGTAGTAGTAAAAAGGTATTTCATCTTATTAAGTAGGTTGCACAATCTTAGCCTATCAGAGCTAGGTTGCTAAAACTTTGTGCCATTATTTACGCCTACCTTCATCAATGCCTCCAACCATATTTCATTAGAATGGGTGTGTGTGTGTGTGTGCACACGTGAATTAGAAGTGATTAATAAAAAATTGTCGACAATCTCTTAAACTCTGATTGTTCTGGATTGTTTAACGAAAAATCCGTTTCCCCTTGTTCGACTACAACTTCATCTCACAGTCATGATGACATCTATGTTGTGTGAATCTATTCAGAACCATTTTCTTTTCTATTTTTTTGTCTTGCCACTTATATAGGAAGGTTGATGATATCTTACAGCTCATAGTCAACCGATGTGTTGTGGTTATTCTCGCCACTGTTAAAATTTTTAACATTTTACGTTAAGTTGTATCCCATTAGAAGCGTTCCGAACAACGGACACGTCGGAAAACTAGAGAACTCGAATTCGGCGCACTTTCAGAGCACTTGTTAAAGCATGTCCAAATGACGTAGCGTGTGGGTAGTAATTGTTAGAGTAGTTGCCCTAGGTTTCCTTTTACTATATATTGGAAATTGCTCATCAGCAATGTTTACTTAGGATTGAAAGTAAATAGTAAATACCGGATATCGGAAAAATTGGTTTCTCTAGTTCTGAATGATGTCTGTTTTTATTCATCACTTCGGTTACTTTATTCGTATTTTTTTGAAATTGGCTTTGCCAGGTGGTTACTCCATGGGTGGATACTTATCGCCTACATCGTCTGTTTCAAGCCCCTCAACTACCCCATCTTCAGCAAAAGAGGTCACAATTCCACTTGAAAATAATTGTTAGTTTGATAGCTATATCAGTCGCTATATTCTGCTATGGTATCTATCTTTTTCAATAATGCCCATTTGCATTTAGTAACATCTTAAAGGAGTTTATAATTCATCCCATTGCAACACCTAATCCGAAATGTCTTGTTGAGCATTCTAATGGGTTTTGTTTATTACGTTGCTTCAACTTACAAGCCTTACATCACCTAATTGCTATCTTATACCTTGTAATCTGTCCATAATGATTTGATGTAAAGAGATCGGATTGTGTGAATTGAGAGTAAGAATAGAAGGCGGTAGTCATTATTTGCTCTGGGCTCTTAAGATTTAATTTATTTTTTCAATGGAATAGCTGCATACTCACAAACCATCTTGACTGCTCCGTGTTTGATTGCGTAACTTCCCTATTGTCTCTAACTTAATTCTGGGGTTTAATTTATTTCATTCAATTAGCTAGTTCCAAGCCCCCGATATATCCATTTTCATCGAATCTTTCCAAATCTCGCCAAACTCCAAAGAAAAGTTAGTCCTACGGATTTCTAATAAACGCTCTAGTTATCATTATACAGATGCTCTATTTTGATTATACTAGCTTTATAAATAGCGTCACCGCTTTTTTATCTATCTTTAAGCCGCCCACGCTAGTTGTCTCGTGGTTTCCATATGCATGCGCTAGTTATCATTTTCATCTCCACATTAGCTCTATAATGGCTTATTTAAAATTGTTGACTATTTCCAGCCAGATTCTCTTCAGGTTCATACAAAGCCCCCCCTCCCAGCTTTACGACAAGAAGGCCATCTCCCAAATCCTCAAAATCATGTCCCAAGAGAAATTGTTAGTGCTATGCCAGCGCTAGTTTCTCACTTTTGCTTTGTCGCTCTTATCGCTTTTCTCTTGCTCCCTAGGCATTGTTTGGTGTGCAAGGAATGGTATATTTAGTATATATTCGATGTCTTGGCTGTCCAAGCGTGGTCTAAATTATCACAGGGAAACAATTAACAAATCAAGATCGAATAAAAGTTCTTTAAATTAACGAAAAGGCATAATAGTGGAAGAGGAAGCAACCACCTGCCACTTTGTCTACTTTCGTTTAAATCAGCATTGGGTGGTATTTGAGTATTCTAAGGTTCAAGTTCTTGCTGATCTATCATGCCCTCCGTGTTGGTTCACGTGCTTAGTAAGTACTTCCCTACTGGACTGGCAAGGTTACTAGTTCCCTAGTTCCCATTTCCAGTGGCAGGCTGCTTGGTGGCTTACAATTTGATCATCACCTTACTGGCTCTTCTAATTTGGCAAGCAGACTTTCAGATCACTGTTGCTTAAACTTTATTAACTTCATCTATTCTAACTTGTTTCGAGGTTTTCAACCTATATATCATCAAAGTCAAGCCTCGACTCCCATATCATCCCAGTTTTTAGTTGTGATAGGTGATAAGCCTGGACACATTATGATAGGAATCTAATTACTCCCATTAGATTCGTGATTACACATGTTGACCGAGGTGGACGAAGTTCAAAGAAAGGTCAACTGTCCTATCTGAATTTTTAAGTACCTCTATTATATCAGTAGTCTAAATTTGCTAATCCCTCCTCGCTCTCTCGCTTAAGTTCCCCCTGTGGATCTGCGTGTACCTCCACCTTGTCTCTTTCCTGCTCCAGCACCAGCTCAGCAACCATCGACTCTTCCAACTTCTAATCTACAACAGTCACCTTTGAATCCTGTCAAAACTTCTCCGATTACGCCAGTGAAACCACCGGTTACCTCAACATTCTCGTCTACTGTTTGTTCTTCTACGAATACCACTCCCGTTGCTCTGACGAAGAGTTCAACAACTTCTCCAGCTGCTCAGGTATTTTAATCTTATCTTTTAACTGCACTAGTTTCTCTCGGACTGTTTTTTACACATATCAAGTAGTCTGATAGAGCATCTGGTAGTTGAATGTTTCGTTGCCTCGTTGTTAAGAGTTTCTTGCGATAAATCCTACTTGCTCATCATGATTACCAAATTTCTGGTCCATAATAAGCCTTTACAGTGCTTTCTCAATTAAATCAACAGGATGATTGAATTCATTTATTGGGCTACTACTGGGGCTGCACTGGTCATAAAATATTGCCACTAGGAAGCTCGGAACAACATGCGATATCAGAGTTTATCGCTGATTTTATGAGTTGGGTCACATGATATTTTGATACTCCAATCAAATTAACTGGAGATGTCACGTTTTGGAAGAGCAATTTATATAAGCTATTTTCTAAATTCATCCAGACCGTATTGCTTGTATGTGATTATTTTTATCTTATCAAAAATGTGACAAGCTTTTCGAATTCAACTTTATTTATATCATGTACATTGGCTTTTTAGGAACCATCAGGCTCAAAGCTAGTTGTTCCAGGAGCATCAACTTCAAGGCCTGAGCCGTTTTCTTTCCTGCCCCTGACTACTACTACTACTACTGCCTCGTCTTCTTCAAGCACTGCACTTCCTATCTTTGGTTCATCAACCACCACTACTACAATTGCAGGCTTTTCATCTCCCTTCAGCTTCGGTAGTCTAGCAAAGTCAATGACTTCTGGTCAATCTCCGACTGCCGCCGCCACCACCATCTTTGGTGTTGGTAGCAGTAAACCAGCAACAACTACCGGATTATCTCTCTTCGGTACCTCTTTAACTAAACCCATAGAGACCTCTGCTCAGCAGACTTCAATACCCCAGGAGGATGAAGACAAACCAGAGGCCTTTGAGCCCAATGTTGACTTCAAACCCTGCTTTGAAAAGCTGCCTGAATTGGTAGACCAGACGACTGGAGAAGAAAATGAGAAGATTCTCTTCTGTTATCGTGCTCGACTCTTCAGATGGGATAAGCCCAAAGATGGGGGATCTCCAGGAGAATGGAAGGCTCGAGGTGTTGGTGAACTTAAAATCCTATGCAATGAGGAGACCAATAAGTACCGTATTGTTATGAGGAGAGATCAGGTTATGAAGCTCTGTGCTAACCACTATATTCTCCCTGGGATTAATATTAAACGCCATCCCCAGAAATCTGTCGCGTGTATGTGGAATGCTCGCGACTTTGCTATTATGGATCCGGATCAATATGACCCTAATGGAACGGATGAACTTTTTATGGTAACTTTCAAGACACGAGAGATTACAGATGAGTTTGAGAAGATTGTCAGAGAGAGTTTGGAGAATGCTACTTCAACGGCGCTTGGTGGCGATAAAAAGGATGGTGAAGACCAAACAAAGGCGAACTTGGAAACTAAATCGACCGAAGTGAAGACGCAATTAACGCCCCATACTGAAAAATCTCCATTATCGGGTATTGACGCATTCAAGGCCAAGCCAGGTTCTTGGACATGTTCAGGCTGTCTTCTGGTGCTTGATGAGTCTAAGATCAAGTGCCCATGTTGTAATTCCCTCAAACCTGGCGCTTCTCCACCCCCTTCGCAAAATACACTCGAATCCAAAATTACCTTCGGTTTGCCTTCAGCTGCCACTTCCCAGTCATCCTCTTTCAATTTCTCAGCAGAACCTACTACAAGCAGTACACCAAACCCAACCTTTAATTTTGGTACTACTTTCAAAACAGATACTTCTGCTAAACCACCGACATTTAGTTTCGGCAATCTTGGGCCCAAAGCCACTACTACTGAGAATTCTTCGTTTGTTTTCAACTCAGCCCTTTGTGATCCTAGTACTTCTGATAAGAAAACAGAAGGTGGAGAGCCCAGCAGAACTGCCGGGGTTTTCGGTGGTTTTAATATGGCCTCTTCGCTAGACAAGGGTGGTAATGCATTCACGTTTTCACTGAACTCCCTGGTAAAACCAATTGACCAAGAGACTGCTGGCGAGATGAACAAATCTTCAGAACACGGGGGTGGAGATGATGAAGAAGTGGCTCCTAGTGATCTCTCTCAGGTCACATTCAAACCTCTTATCGATCATCTTCCTGATAAGGTTGAGATAGTTACAGGGGAGGAAGGTGAAGATGTCCTATTCGAAGCTCGAGCTAAGCTTTTCCGATTCGATTCTGGTGATGGAGGTGAATCAGTGTGGAAAGAGAGGGGTATAGGACAGTTGAAGATCCTCAAAAATCAGGCTTCAAACCGTGTGCGGTTGGTTATGCGACGAGAACAGATACACAAGGTGTGCTGTAATCATTTGATCACCCCTGGGATGACTATCAAACCGATGGATGGTAGTAAAGCGATCGTGACACCTTGGGTCTGGTGGGCTGTTGACTTTTCGGAAGAGGAAGCCGAATCCGAGGGAAGGCGAGAGATGCTGTCAGTGAGATTCAAGACTGCAAAGGAATCACAGGATTTCCATGATACCTTTGTCAAGTGCGCGGAGAGATCTGATGAAGAACAGACTCATGAGGATGAAGGTGACGATAGTGAAGTTGAAATTGTTGAAAACCCGGTAAGCGTCTTATTCGCCTTTAACTGTGCAAAAAAATTAACTGCTTCTTCTTAAACTCAAATTCTTTTGAACTAATAATTTAGTATGTTAGTAAGAGCTGACTCAATTTTGAAGAGAGTTACTATTATCGACATCTTGAGATTGGTCGTGTTCCAATAGAAATTTAATCAAGGTTTTTGATAACTACAATAGGCGGGGAGAGGTAATGGAAATGATTTGTGAAAGGTTTATATCTTATCCCTATAATCGTGGTAGTTATTTGTATCGATATGTGCCCACGAGGCCTTACTGGCTTACGAGCATTTCGTTCAGCTTAAACTCAGCTATAGAGTTGTGGATGTTCTTCAAGATCGATGGTTTATGTTCATTATCATTGTCATGATATCTCGCGTTTAGAACACGCTTTATGATCGTCTCTTTGTAGACGATTTCATATATCCGAATTCATCAATTTCTAATGATTTAATTTACAGGTCTAGTTGTGATTAGTGCATTTTATATTTTAATGACGATGAAAAATCGTAGGAATAACACGGGCTCACATGCAATCCGACAAAGCATATTTGAATAGAGATATTCACTCAAGGTGGACTAATTCATTAATGTATCATTTTCTAAATCAAATCTGCTAAAATATGGAACTTCGTTATTTGATTACTGTTCATTAAATTCCGTCTCTGTTTTGTAATAGCTATCTCAGGAGCAAATCCAACGTGCAAGGGCTCTGATGCTCCCAGATGATTTCTACGCCTACGAATTGAGGAAACCAGGTCATGGGAAAGGAGAAAGTGAAAATATGACTTCCTCAGAAGAAGCGGCTGAAGACGCCTTGTTGGAAACAGCAATCGGTCGAGGTATTTCTCGAATGCTCTCTTCAGCCTCTTCTTTTGATGTTGTTAAGAGCACAGAATCCCTAGTGATAACAACACCGCCTATATCACCACCTCTTCCGCAGACTGAGACGCCAAAACCCACTTCCATTTTCCAGAAATCTACTGCTGATAATGCTTCCACCACTTCCACCCCATCTGTTGGTATGTTTCGCAAATACTTACCTTGTGCTCTCTTTTCTTGATATTCATCTAGATTCACTTTGGTTTCCATTTGATCGGATTGAGTAATAGTAGTTCAAACTGCTTCTGAGTATTATGCTTGGGTTGAAAACAGGAAATTAGTTCTAACGACAACATCCTAAATATTGTGTTTCGGTCATGGTTTAGCGAAAGATGTGAATATTATTGTAGATTTCAGAAGCAGAAGCTATTGTAGGCCTGCAGTGTTTTCATTCCGTCTACAATCTTGAATCTTTCTCCTTTTCTTCAGCTACCGTTTTGTAGGAACCTATTTAACTAGTGGCTTGTATCCTGTTCTTTTCTGTTTCAGGTGGCCTATTCGGTAGCTTTTTGGGCTCTTCTTCAACAGGTGGTAGTGTATTCGGAGGTTTCGGTGCGCTTAGCAAAGACGCTAGCTCTACACCTGCTTGGCTGAAACCCAAGGCTTCTGAAGCTCCTTCGTGGGCCGGGGCCGATACAGCTCTCTTCTCTAACGCTCTGAAGTCTTCTGTTGACAAGGAAAATTTAACTCAGAATGATGATGGAGGTGATGATAATGAACCCGATCCGCAATTTGAGCCTCTCATCCCACTCCCGAGCTTGGTTGAGGCTAGAACAGGTGAAGAGGGTGAAGTGTGTCTATTCCTTCGTCGATGCAAACTCTACCGCCTTGTGGATAGTCAATGGAAGGAGCGAGGTATTGGTGATATGAAAATCCTTGTGCGTCCAAAGAACAATCCACCTGCTGAATATCTCGATCCACGCACTGAATTGCCCGCGGATGCTAAACTGGATGGTGGTATCAATTATGCACGTATATTGATGCGTAGGGATCAGGTCCTCAAAATTTGCGCTAACCATACTATCACCGCAGACATGCCCGACTTTAAACCTCTTTCTGTCACGAATTATGGTCTTTTATGGGCTACCAAGGACTTCTCTGAAGAGGCAGAAGGCGAGGTCATGACATTGAGTCTCAAGTTCAAGGTAATTCCTGGCTGCTTATTCCTTAAGCCTTTTGGGTTTATGATGTAGAGTAAGATGGTTATTCTTTCAACTTTCCAACCATAATTCATTAGATTATGGTCTCCATCACTCCAGTAAATTTTGAATGTGCTATTGTGAAAAGACGCTTTCTGAGTAATCCTGTTTATTATTAGGCATCCATATTCGGAATATTAACTTACCGTCGATTCATTTGTATAAGTATGCTAACTTTGTTTTATGCTTGTTCTTACCTTTAACTCTGTTGTGTCGAGGTCATGCTGCCATTTCGAAATAGGAAATGAATCGGGTTTCAAGATCAACCATCCTACTTAAACAGAGTAGGTCAATAAGCAGTAGAGATTGCGAGTAAGAATTTGGTTGTTAAACAAGGAGACGGAATAAGATATTTGAATTTTGTAACAAAAAGCATGAATTATACCGGTTGAGAAAATATTCTACAGCCTGGAGGTGAAAAGCACTTGAAGTATTGATTTTAACGCCCTCTTCTCAATAGCCTCCTTTTATTTCCTACGAATAAGCTCGTGCCACTTGTTCTCTGTCCTTAGTAAATAGCAGTGCAGTCCCTAAGACCGTGTATGCTATAGCCTAAACCGATTAATGCCTTGGTTAAATTTCTCATAGATCCAAGTTGCTAAATCATTAACAACCTCTCGAAGTATTTCTTTACAAATCTCTCGCTATGCAAAAGTTGTGTAGTTAAATATCTATATTTGGTAGCATTGAAAGTAATTTGGTTCTCCGTATTTATTGACTTTTCTCTCTTTAGACGGAACAAGATCTGACTCAATTCAAAGCAGCCATTGCCCGCGCAAGAGAGATGCTTAAAGGGTACGTAATTTCGTGCCACTCTTGTTGATTTAGCTAACACCTCGTGTCCAACCGCTAATACGGCCTTTTCTCGTTACAGAAATTAAATTGGGAAATTGCGTGTGGTAAAACACTACTGTTTCACGCCGCTTCCCCCTCATCCCTTCCCCTCCCCTCGAAGTGGGCACACCCTGTTTGTAACTGTGTTAATGTTATTCGTGTCCTCTCCCCACCCCTCCCCTCCCCTCACAATGAGCTTTATACATTTGCATCGGAGTAATATGTGTAAATTTTTACCATCAACGCTCTTCCTTTGGCTTTCTTTTGAGATTTAGTTGGCTATTGAAATTATATCTGCATATTATATAGAGCAGGATCCTCTAAATGGTGGGGGGGGGG